TACTTGGGGGAGGGGAAACCTTTTTATTTACAATTGCTGTCATTTCATGGAAGATAGGGCTTCACAGGCTAGTTCATAATTGGATTCATCAGTGGATTTGGGGTCCAGATATCTTTGGGTAACTTGTTTCTCAAACCTTTCATTAGCGACTAACAGGCACATTGGAGTACGTGTCATCCATGACTGATCAAAACGAATCCTACTCAAAATGATCAAAATGAGACAGGTGATTGTGACAGGATTAGACTTTTTCTCCAGATAAGGACTTGGTTCTTGAGAGTTTTTCTTTAGGATCCTCTTGTCTTAAGCAGGAGTTTTTCAAAAGGTGAGGAGGTAGGAGATTTTAAGATTGACCAAATTCTGCCCTGCCTAACATTTATTTATTTATTTATTCATGAAAGCAATGGGAAATTTTACTCAAGCCAAATTTGTTTGAGGATTATAACCCAGGAAGAGCATATCAGAAAGTTCTGAGAATTGTTGCCTTTACCTGCCTTCTAAACAAGAATCAAATCAATTCCTTGAATACCTGTTACTAAGAATGTTGGGCTAAACTTTGGGGCAAAGTTTCTCAAACTTAAATCTACATAATTACAGCCTGAGAACCTATCAAAACAGCAGATTTCTAGGTTTTAGTGTCATAGGCTGTGAATGACATCAATATGGCAGCACCGGAATCTCAATTTTTAGCAAGCAGAATGTAATTCTGATGCACATACTCCATGGACCCCCGCTTCTTGAGAAACATTGTTCTAGGAGCTATAGGGAAGTAACACTTCCAGTTTCAATAATGTCACACTAGCTAATTCAGATCAACCTTCTTGTTGAACATAATTTATTAAACATTATTTTAAAAGCATCAAAAAGCTAACAAAATACTGATAAATTAACTGAGGTGAGATCCAGAAGAGAATAGAAATTGAGGCATGAACTTGGCTAATTTTGAAGTTTTTTCCCTTAGGGTCATGAGCTGATTTTGAAAAGACAATTGAGAGGGTGAGCTGTCTTTGTAACAATCTCATGGGACTAGGGAGACCAAAGTTGGATCAGGAGCTGTCAAGGTGGAGATCAGTAATGCGTTCCCCATGACACACACACACCTCCCAGGATTAAAGGTGAATTGGAAGTGGCTTGCTTAGAAAATCTCAAATCTTGAACTAAGCCAGACCTGGCAAAAGCAAATGAACGTCCTCTCTAGAGGAAGATAACATCAACCTGGGTATCAAATTATCTCTGCAGATAATTTGTACACAATCAAAGATAACTAAAGTCTTAGTAGACAGAAAACCATAAGCAGGAACTACTAGGAAAAATGAACAACAAAACAGATACAAAGGGATTCCACTAGGTAAATCAAAATGATCATTGACTGTGTGAAACAATTATTATAATGTCCTGTGGGATAGATAGATGGAATTTAAAGTGCATGACAATAATACCATAAAGGTTTAGGAGGGCTTTAAGTGGTATTAAATGTTCTAAATTTCTCACATTTGGAGGAGAGGAAAGATACCAGTGAATATTAGATATTTATGAGTAAAGAATACATGCTGTAATTCTGGAATAACTACCCAGAAGAATAGAAGAAGTGTACATGATTTGTAAGCTAAAAGAGATTTTTTTAAATGAATGATAAAGGGACATCCCTGGCAGTTGAGTGGTTAGGACTTCACCTTCCACTGCAGAGGATGCAAGTCCAATACCTGGTTGGGGAACTAAGATCCTGCATGCCTCTCATCCAAAATAACAAAACATAAAACAGAAACGATATTGTAACAAACTCAATAAAAAAAACTTTAAAAATGGTCCACATAAAAAAAACTTTTAAAAAGTGAGTGATAAAAATGATCAACCCAAGAGGAGGCATAGAAGAAAATGAAAAAGGAACACAGGACAGACAGGAAAAGAGATATATGTAATAAGATAGTAGATTTAAACAAAAATATATTAGTAATTATGTTGAATGTAAATGAACTCAATTTTCTCCCCCCCCCCTTTTTTGATCCATATATCTATTTGTTTTCAGATTCTCTTCCCATATAGATCATAACCAAGTATTGAGTAGAGATCCCAGTGCTATACAGTCGGTCCAGGAGCTACCCCTCGCCCAAGGTCAGGGGCGGCAACCGAGAGCACCAGGCTGCAAGAGGAGAGCACAGGAGTGGCCGAGAGGAGCTACCCCACGTCGGAGGTCAGGGGCCGCGGCCGAGAGGAGCTACCCCACGTTGGAGGTCAGGAGGAGCTAACCCAAGTCCGAGGCCAGGGGCGGCGGCCAAGAGGAGCTATCCCACACCCGAGGTCAGAGGCGTGACTGAGAAGAACTACCCCACGACCAAGGAGTGGCAGCTGCGCAGACTCAGGAGGGCCGAGAGGACCTACTCCATGTTCAAGGTCAGGAGAGGCAACTGTGAGGAGATACCCCTCGTCCAAGGTGAGGAGCAGCGGCTACACTTTGCTGGAGCAGCCGTAAGAGATACCCCACGTCCAAGGCAAGAGAAACCCATGTAAGATGGTAGGTGTTGCGAGAGGGCGTCAAAGGGCAGGCACACTGAAACCATAATCACAGAAAACTAGCCAATCTGATCGCAGGACCACAGCCTTGTCTAACTCAATGAAACTAAGCCACCCGTGTGGGGCCACCCAAGACGGACGGGTCATGGTGGAGAGCTCTGACAGAATGTGGTCCATTGGAGAGGGGAATGGCAAACCACTTCAGTATTCTTGCCTTGAGAACCCCATGAACAGTATGAAAAGGCAAAATGATAGGATACTGAAAGAGGAACTCCCCAGGTCGGTAGGTGTCCAATATGCTCCTGGAGATCAGTGGAGAAATAACTCCAGAAAGAAAGAAGGGATGGAGCCAAAGCAAAAACAAT